CGTATGAGAGTTTCTTTTTCTCTGAAACCTCACCAGCATTTATCGTTCAGAGTCTTTTGGATATTAGCCATCCTAATTGGGTGAGATGGTATCTCAGTGTGGCTTTGATTTGCATTTCCCGAATGCTGAGTAATGTTGAGCCTTTTTTCATACGTCTGTTGCCCATTCATATATCTGCCTTTGAGAAATGCCTATTTAGCTCTTTTGCCCATTTTTTAATTGGGTTGCTTGTTTTTTTCTTGGAAAGTTGTTTGAGTTCCTTGTATATTCTGGATATTAATCCTTTGTCAGATGTATATTTTGCAAATATTTTCTCCCACTCTGTTGGTTGTCTTTTAACTCTGTTAATTGTTTCTTTTGCTGTGCAGAAGCGTTTTAGTTTGTATAATTCCATTTGTTTATTTTTCCTTTGGTTGCCCGTGCTTTTAGGGTTTTATTCCTGAAGTCTGTGTCTAGACCTATTTCCTGAAGTGTCTCTCCTATGTTTTCTTTAAGAAGTTTTATTGTTTCAGGGTGTATATTTAAATCCTTAATCCATTTTGAGTTGATTTTAGTATATGGTGAGAGGTATGGGTCTAGTTTCATTCTCCTGCAAGTGTGGTCGTGTGGTAGTGAACTCCCGCAGTTTTTGTTTGTCTGAGAACTATACTATTTGCCCTTCCTCTTCCCCAGTGTATAGGCTTGGTGCCTTTGTCAAAGATCAGATGGCTGTAGGTGTGTGGGTTGATTTCTGGATTCTCTATTCTATTCCATTGATCAGTGTGTCTGTTTTTATGCCAGTACCATGCTGTTTTGGTTATTATTGCTTTGTAGTATAGTTTAAAGTCAGGTAGAGTTATGCCTCCAGCTTTATTTTTTTAGCTCAGCATTGCCTTGGCTTTTTGTGGTCTTTTGTTATTCTATATAAATGTCTGGATAGTTTTTTTCATTTCTGAGAAAAATGTCATTGGAATTTCGATGGGGTTTTTATTGAATTTGTATACACTTTAGGTAGTATGGACATTTTCACACTCATTGTGATTTTTAACTTGTGTTCATGGTGACTAAAATATTGAGCCCCTTTTCATGTACTTATTGGCCATTCTTTTATCTTTTTTGATGAGATGTCTGCTCAAGTCTTTTGCCCAAATTTTTAATGGGTTGTTTATCTTTTTTATTATTGAGTTCAGGAGTTATTTATATATTCTGGATACAGGTTTTTTGTTCAATGCATGAAAATATTTTTTTCCACCTGTGTCTTGCCTATTGTTTTTCTTAACTGTGTCCTTTGATGAGCTAGATTTAAATTTCAGGAAGAGATATGGGTTCCATTGTTGGGAGTAATGGACCCTCACCCTTTTACGTTTGTGATGTTAATTTTTAGTTATGAAGATTGGTGGTATGCTGGTGGGCATATGGATCATAACCAAAGTTTCTTTTCAAGGCATTTCATATTGCATTAAAAGAAAAATTCCAAAGGAAGTTCAGAACTTATCTATAAAAACAATTATTTTGCTGTTGGGTGTGAAGATTCCAGAAAAATTAGGTCTCCTTGAATAGCAATTGCCAGAGTGTACAAGAAACCCATGTGGGTAGATCATTGCCAATTATGCATTCTCCTTTTCCAAAAAGCTTTGGATAATCACGAATGACACAGTATAAGCAGGGACAAATGCTACATGCTGCTCAAGTCAAGTCCTATAGACACTTGAGGAATTCAGTCATGGAAACAGTAACAAAAGCAGCCACTGCCAGCATTTTCCCAAAGATGCAATGACAGGTTACATACAAATTAACAAGAGGAGAGAAGCCAGATTCTTCTTGCAGAGGAAGAAGGAATTCCCTTTAGGACAAGTGGTATCTTGTGGTGTTAAATACTGACTCATAAAATGGGTCTGGGAAGGTGCTTTCAAGCTTGACTTGGAATGACAACAATAGTTAAAGAACAAGTTTTCTTTATCAGCATTCATATGTGAACTTGTTTACAACTAACTGACATATCAACTACCTGAAGTGACGGTTCTCACACTGATAATCAATGTGAGATTATCTTTTATATTTGCTTTTGTATTTGTGATGAGGTTTGATTTTCACATTATACAACCATAGCTCTCAAGTTGAAAAGACTACATAGTCTCTCATTTCACTAAATAAATACTGGCCTCTTGGTTGACTTTTGTCAATTTTTCATTATTTGGAGTAATATTTAACTTTGGAGAAAAGTACACTTGATTTTCACATTATACAACCATAGCTCTCAAGTTGAAAAGACTACATAGTCTCTCATTTCACTAAATAAATACTGGCCTTTTGGTTGACTTTTGTCAATTTTTCATTATTTGGAGTAATATTTAACTTTGGAGAAAAGTACATGGAAGATCTTTGTACACTTATTCTTTAGTATCTAACTGTTCTGAACTGAAAAAAGACCCATCTTTATTTTCATTCGTATCTGTGATTTCTGGATAGTAGTGGCTCTGAGCTCTGTGATTTCTCTGGTTCCACAAATTCTCTATATTCCAGAGTTCTCCATTTGTCTACTTACCAATGATCCCACAAAATTCTGAAAAATAAGGATGGTTCAAGGAGAAATCAGCCAGGGCTCAGTGTAATGGATGGGTAAAAATAAGAGAGTAAGAACTATTTGCAAAGAGGAAAAATAAATAGGGGCTTGAAGTTATCGAGAAGACTTGAGAGTCAATGGCATTCCTCAGTGCAATTTAAAAATTCTAAAATGTGAAAAAAGTTTGTACATTAAAACATGGTTCTGACTTTTTTTTTTTAATCCTCTTGGAAGAGAATGAGTTTTTTTATTCAGACAAAACTCTCTCGGAATTTATTTATTTATCTACTATTGAAACATAATTGATTATACATAGATGGGGGTGCAGAGTTGACTACCAGTATTTGTGCACAATATGTGATGATCAAATCAGTATAATTAGCATATTCATTATTACAAAGTTATCATTCCTGGTGTCCATTAATCAGTTTTTCTCTCTGAATTTAGTTGTCGTCTTTTTCTAACTGTCCATTCTCTTTCCATTTCAGGTAAACCTTTTTGTGCTGCTCTCTGTGGTTTGTGTCCTCCTGAATCTAGCTGGATTTATCCTAGGCTGCCAAGGGGCCCAGTTTGTGTCCAGTGTACCCAGGTGTGATCTGGTAAGCAGTCCTGAAACATCCATGTGCATCTAGGCAGACCCTGCCCATCTGGCATTCCTGGTGTGACATGATATTCAGCACCATGCAACTATCTGAAGTGAGACGTGACATTGGTAAAAGGAAGTGGGACAGTAAAACAAAGAACTGCCTGCTAGTTATTTCACTCAGGTTGTCAATTATTTTTCTAAAGCAGGGACCAGCCAGCTTAACCCCAGAACCACAATAATATAAAGCATCATTAGTCTGTGAATGAATAGATCAGGTGTCCACAATCAATCTGTCTGCCCTCATCTAAAGGGAAAAAATATCTACTGTTAGAATCCAGCTTAACAACCCTTTATCTGAAAACTTTAGAGGCCAAGTGTGTGTCAACACTTAGAGTTTTTCCAATTTTGGAAGATAAATATGGTGCATATACCATTTATCATGTAGCATGCCAGTGGATCTTGGACAGCAAACTGTAATCAGGACTTTTGGTTTTCAGAGCTTTTTGGATTTCTGAATTGTGGGTAAGAGCTTGTGAACCTGTACCATCTCTGCACTTAAAAAAATTTTTAAATTGTGGTAAAATACATTTAACATAAAATTTACCCTCTTAATCGCTTTAAGTGTACAGTTCAGTAGTGTTAGGTATATTTACATTGTCATGTAACCAATCTCTAGAACTCTTTTCATCCTGCAAAACTGAAATTCTCTATATATTAAATCACAACTCCCCATCCTTCCCTCCACCCAAACCCTGGCAGCCACCACTCTACTTTCTGCTTGTATGAGTTTGACTACTCTGGGTACCTCATATAAGTGGAATCATACAATATTTGTCTTTTTGTGTCTGGCTTACTTTACTTAGTATAATGCCCTCAAGGTTCATCCATGTTGTAGCACGTGTCAGAATTCCCTTCCTTTTTAAGACTGAATAATGTTCCATTGTATGTATGTGGCACTTTTTGTTTCCATTCATCTGTTGATGGAAATTTAGGTTGGTTCCACCCCTTGGCTATTGTGAATAATGTTGCAGTGAACAGGAGTGTGCAAAAACCTCTTTGAGATCCTGGTTTCAGTTCTTTGGGATACATACCCAGAAGTGGGATTTCTTGATCATATGGAAATTTTATTTTTAATTTTTTTGAGGGAGCTCCACACTGTTTTCCATAGTGGCCATATCATTTTATATTCCTGCCAGCAGTGCACAAGGGTTCCAGTTTCTCCATATTTTCACCAACACTCGTTATTTTGTTTTTTGATAGTGGCCATGCTAATGGGTATAAGATTATTTCTCACTGTGGTCTTTATTTCCATTTCCCTGATTATTAGTGATGTTGTATGTCTTTTCATATGCCTGTTGGCCATTTGTATGTCTTCTTTGGAGGAATGTCTATTCAAGTCCTTTGCCCATTTTTAAATCAGGGTTTTTTTGTTGTTGAGTTGTAGGTACTTTACCTATTCTGCATATTAACCTCTTATCAGATATATGGTTTACGTTAAGTATATTTTTAATTAAAATTTTTTTCTTTGGCTAGAGTGCAGTCTTGTAACACAAAGGTCAAGGGTTCGGTTCCCCATATAGCCAGTTACCAGAAAACAAACAAACAAACAAAACCGAAAAAAAAATTTTTTTTTTCTACTGCAAAAGCAACTGTGATTATTTCTGATGATATAATTATAAAAATTTGGACGAACAATGAAAGTATGGAACTGAACTTAAAAATTATTCAAATTCCTACTGTTCTTAGATAGCATAATTAACCATTTGGCCATATTTATACCTCTCTTTATGCACAAAAACACACATAATAGGATCGTATTATAATCAACAAGATCGTACCATAATTTCTGATTTTCATTAGGGAGGCTATTGACAAATGAAGTCTTTTTGGGGAAGGGGATGCTTTTCTGTCCTCTTTTCTTCTCTGCCCACATCAGTCATCCCAACTCCATGGCAACAAGCTGGGGAATTTTCTTTCATAATGTTTTCATGCTCATATAATCTCACATAAGTATGTATGGAGTAGGTTTATTCATGATTTATTTTTCAAGAATGGAATATATCGTATATCCTTCCCTGCATCTTGTTTTTCTCATTCAAAGATGTATTAGTTACAAGTCCAACACCTTTTTTTTCTTTGGACAAGTTAACTCTCTCTTTTGTTGTGGTCTGTTGTGGCTTGGGTTTTGGCCAATAGAAACACCTCTGCCACGAATCCCATTCTGCATATCCCGTGGGGGCTTTTAGTCCTAAGTGGAGTTGATTCCAGGACAAGACATCGTTCTTAGCAGTCTATCTTCTGTTGGTCTCATTTATGATTATAAATTCAACTATTTTATGATTCTATCTATTTTTTTAAACATGGTAAAATTTATAGTGAAAGGCGCAGATCTTATGTGTATAGTTCATTGAGTTTTGACAAGTGTATACTCTCATCTTGACAAATGTATACATTCACGTTATACCCCAAACAAGATCTAGAACATTCCCATCACCTAGAAAGATCTTCAGTGTCCTTTTTCAGGCAGTCTCTACTCTTTATAGGCAACCACTGTTCCTATTTCTTTCACTATAGATAAGTTGTGTCTGTTTTTGAGCTTCGTATAGATGGAGTCATATGGTATGTACCCTTTTGGGTCTGACTTATTTTGCTCAGCATAATGCTTTTGAGATTAATCCAGGTTTTTGTATTGTATCAGTTGTTTGCTCCTCTTTCTTTTCTTTCTCTTTTTCTTTTTTTTCTTTTTGTCTTTTTTCGTGACCGGCAATGGATCGCAACCCTCAGTGTCGCGCCCGTACCGGACCGGGACCGGCAACGGGATCGCAACCCTCGGTGTTGTGCCCGCACCTCGCTCAGCCAGTGAGCGGCCCGTCTGTATGTGGGATCCGAACCCTCGGCGGGAGCGCCGCCGCGCTCCCAAGCGGCGCACTGTAGCAGTGCGCCACTGGGCCGGCCCTCTTTTTCTTTTTTGATGTGGTATTTTGTTGTATAAAAATATCACAATATCACAATTTGTTTTATCCATTCTCCTGTTAATGGACATTTGGATTGTTTTCAATTTTGGATTGTTTTCAATTTTGGGGCGTTATGAACAAAGCTGTGGTGAACATTATTGTGCAGATTTTTGTTTTCATTTCTCTTAAGTAAATACCTAGCATGGAGTTGCTGGGTCGTATGGTGCTAAATGGTATTTCCCAAGTGGTTAGGGAAATAAGTTTTTGTTTGTTTTTTTTTTGGCAGCTGGATCATATGGGGATGAAACCCTGGACCTTGGTGTTATTAGAACCGCACTCTAACCAACTGAGCTAACCGACCAGCCCCAAATAAGTATTTTTAATTTAAAATAGCCAGTTCCTTTATTAAAGGGCTCAAACTCATATTTCTACCAGTGATTCTTCTCATCTCCACCAGCAAAAAGGGTTTCTCTCTCTTTAATTTTCTGCCAGTCTCATGGGCCTAAAGTGAGAGCTCTTTGTTACTTTAATTTGCAGTACCCTGCTTGCTAAAGATGGCATTGTCATTTTTTAAAAGCTCTCCAGAAAATTCTAATGTGTAGCTAGGGTTGAGAACCACAATGTTGGAGGATGGCAGGAGGAAAGTGAGGGTCTGACAGCTTCAGGTAATGGTATCAAGGTTGAAGGGTGGATGTTTATCATTTAGGATTGGGGAGACTTCTACAGCTTTGTTTGTGGGTAGGTAAAAGAGGCTGAAGGGAAGTCAGAATCAGTTTTTAGAAATATTGGGCAGAGATGGGACTAAAAGTGGAGGTGAAGGTATTAGATTTGGCAGACACCTGAACAGGAGGAACAAGGAACACGAATGCATGGTGGCCTGGAATCAGTTTGCACAGGGGCTCAATGCTTCCTTGTATCATGTGGGCACAGTAATTGATATTCATGATCATTTGTGCAGTGATAAATTTTGAAAGAGGCTGTTTAAAGGGATTAACTTTCACTCATCTGGAAAATGTTGCCATCCAGACTGGCTCACCCCAGAGGTTCAGATAGCTGAGGTTTCTTGTATACCTGGATGTCTGGTGTTCTGCGAATAATCCAGCCCTGCAGGCTGGTTTCTCACTTAACTGGATGCCAAGTATCAAGGATGGACTTGTTTGGGAAGGGAATGATTTGTAAGATGACACCTAGTATTACCTGAAGGGGGTAGTCTTCGGGTAGGATCTTGAGGCTTGCACCAAGTGTAAGAAGTAAAGATCTTGTTGGAGAAAGTGAGTTTGGCTCCTGTCGGGGAGGAGAGGGACTCACGTCCATGAGCAGAATGGAGGCTGATACGCCATCTCCATGAGCTGCTTTTATTTGTTACTACTACAGAGTGTTGTTAGTATTAAAACAGGAGGTTCTCAGCTGGACACTTCAAAGCAGGAAGCCCTTTGGGAGTAATATTCAATTGCTGAATTTAGCCCACTGGAAGGGCTGTTATTAATTATGGAAGAGGGGCAGAGAGAAAGCCAGTGGTTCCTGAGGAGAGAAGCTCCCACCTGCCTAGAGAAAGCCTGTCTGAATGGCCACAGTAGTTTTCCTTTAGAAGGCCCGAGTCTAGTGGAGATACTAGCAGCTGCGTGTATCTCCAAAAATGTGTGGCAATGGAAGAAAGATTCTGATAGAAACAGCCTTGTGCCTTTGTGTGGGGTTATGGATCGAGGTGCAGGGACATTGCTGAGTTAACAATTTCCATAGACAAACTAGGAAAGGCTAGAAACCAAGTGGTGATGAATTGACAGAGATTATGGAGCCCATCAAGGTAACTCTAATTGTAATTGCTTGTACCAGAGGCAGAATTTATATCAAAATCTGATATAATAATTCATCCCTTTCAATGTGGTTTCAGTGAGGACAAAGAATAAAAAATGTTGTAGAGGGGCCGGCCCGGTGGCGCACTGCTACAGTGCGCCGCTTGGGAAGTGCGGCGGCGCTCCTGCCGAGGGTTCGGATCCCACATATAGACCGGCCGGGCGCTCACTGGCTGAGCAAGGAGCGGGGGCAACACCGAGGGTTGCGATCCTGTTGCCGGTCCCAGTCCGGTATGGGCGCAACACTGAGGGTTGCGATCCGTTGCCAGTCACGAAAAAAAGACAAAAAGACAAAAAAAAAAAAAAAAAATGTTGTAGAATCCATGGAGTTCTAGAAGAGGCCAAGCCAATGTATGTGGGGGAAAAAATCAGAACAGCAGTTGCCTCTAGAAGGGTGAGGGCAGCGATCGATGGAGAAAGGGGCATGAGGGAATTTTCTGGGGGGATGGTAATATTCCATATGTTGATAAGGGTTTGGGTTACAGTAATATATATGTATTGCTCAAAATTCCTCAAATGATCCAGTTAAGCTTTGCGTATGTAAAATTTTTTTGTGTATCTATGTAAATCTCACCTCAAAAGAAAGAAAAACTAACCAAACAAAAAAATGTTACATCATAATCCAGGAGTGGAGTTTTTTTCCTTAGTTTTCTAGTCAACTTGTATTATAAGGAACCAAGTTTTCTTCAAAATTAGAAAAATACCACGAGATGTACTACTATAAACTAGAGGTTTATAATCTAATCTTAAATCTTAATTCAATATGAAAAAAGGCTTTTTTTTTCTGTTTAGCAAGTAAAACATTGTGGCTATTCAGTCATTCTTAAAGATTACTGAAGAATCTTGCAGCTAGCAAAGTCAAAGCTGCCTAATTCATTTAACAATTAACAAAAGAGGTGTCGCCTTTCCTTTTAGGCAAAATAGAGTAGCCAACTTGGAAAAAGTGAGTTTGGATCCTGTTGGAGAGGAGAGGAACTCATGTCATGAGCAGAATGGAGGCGATAGGCCATCAAGCAGCACAGCAAGCAGAAAAAGAACCTCTGTCCTCAAATCATGGGTCTTATTAGCTAAAATAAGGAGTTCTACATTTCACAACTTGACTCGGAATATTTGGAAAAGTGTGACCAAATGTTTGCAAAACATCTCACTAAAAATTTACAAGTTTACTCATCGTAAATTTATCACTTCAAATAAAACTACAAGAATCTATGATGACATTAAAGATGTGAACTAAGAGTCTCTTAAGCCAATGTGGTCTAGGGCCATGTGCTTCTTACAGACATGTGGTAGATTGGACTTCCCTGCCTTTGAGAAGTTAGATGGGACCATGTGATTTGCTTTGACAATGAAATTGTGAGCTAAAGTGATGAGTGTCATTTGCAAGAGCAAGCTTTAAGCTAGGGTTGCCTTATTTAACAAGTAAAATGACACGACACCCAGTTAAATTTGAATTTCAGATAAACAGCTAATAATTTTTTAATATGCCTTGTGCAATGTTTGGGGCATACTTATGCTAAAAACATTATCTGTTGTTTATCTGAATCCAAATTTAATTGGGCATCCTGTATTTTTTTTTTTTTTTTTTTTTTTTTTTTTTTTTTTTTTTTTTCTCAGCCAGTGAGCGGGAGCCGGTCTGTATGTGGGATCCGAACCCTCAGGGCGGCAGCGCTGCCGCGCCTCCTAAGCGGCGCACTATCCAGTGCGCCACTGGGCCGGCCCCGGGCATCCTGTATTTTATCTGGCACCCTACATTAAGTGCCAATGTGCAGTTTATCCTGTGCTCTCCATCACTGGCATGGTGGTCATGTCATGCTATTGAGATGGTGGATATTCCATCAGTCTGGGTCCCTAAGGGACTGTGATAAGCAGAGTCCCCTGCTCACATGAAATGGACGTGTAGCATCTATAACCAAATCTCATTGTTAAGCCACTGAAGTTTGGTTTTGGTTGTTACCACAGCATACCCTAGCAATCCTGACTGATGCAGGCATGCCTGACCCGGAACCCTGCCGTATCTCATTCTGTAGGACTGGTGCTCTTTGGTGTAGCCAGGGTATTTTTTTTCTGAATAATTTAATTATTGTTCTGCCTTTTCCTCCTTAAGGTGGACTTGGGTGAAGGCAAGATTTGCTTCTGTTGTGAAGAATTTCAACCAGCCAAATGCACAGATAAAGAAAATGCCTTGAAACTCTTTCCGGTTCAGCCTTGCAGTGCTGTTCACCTTCTACTCAAGGTACTTCAAATAGATGCCAACCCCCACCAATAAATACACCATAGAGCCCCCCAAAAGGCAAAGTTACTTGAAATATTCCTATTCTGTTACCCTCCTCAAACAATTAAGCTGCTGAAAGCAGATATGAGTGACCCCTCATTAGTGACCCAGAGACAGAATTGAGTGCAGAAAGAAGCACAGATTATGTGTGTATTAAATTGTGGATGGACAGCTTTCTTTGTGTTCAAGAACTGTAAGAGAGTTAAAAATGGAAAGGAGCCTAACTACACACACACACACACACACACGTGTCTATACATACATGTGTACACACACATACATGATGTAGCTTTTAGCAAAACCTTTCAACTGCATGCTCATTTGTTACTGTTCTGATGCTCATGGGTCAGCTTAAGTGAGTCATGCGGGCTGCCCTTCTGTGACATATGGACTAAGGAGAGCTATTGGCCAGAAAATACAAGAGAAATTCAAGCACTTTATCTCTTAATTAATTTTATAATTTAATAGGCAGTTACAATCATGAGCCAAAGAGATTTAAAAACAAATAAGTGATCCCAGTTGAAGATAAATACCAAATTAACCTTTATGACTAGGTAATTGGATAAAATTTGTGTCTTGGCTTAAGGAACATCAGCCCAGTCAGTGACAAAATCAGTTGGTGAATCCTGAGATATTAGCTTTCAGATAGTCCCCCACTGATGGCTTTCCCCAGATCTTTGTTTTGGGTTCATTTTTTATGGGGAAGCAGGGATCTCCAAGCAAAGAGGGAGAGCTGGCCAAAACTGTCAGCTCTGGGGTATGTATGATGTACAGATGGCCTGCTTTCTTTGGCTTCTGCAATTTTGGTAGCTGAGTCACCCCAAACTTTTGGAGCCAGGACTTCGCTTGGGGAAAGCCCCGCTAAGGAGCCAGCACTGTAGCAACAGAAACTTTCAGAATTGCCTTTGCTGCTATTTTGAGATGTGTGTTTAGAGGAGAGAAGTCCCATGTACACTCTGGCGGGTCTGGCCCCTGCAGCGTCCTAGTCGGGTGCTTGGGGCAGCACTGCCAATTGCTCCCAAAATAGAATCAGTGGCCACAAATGAAGCAACGTGCTGTCCTGGTGGGAGGCTGGGAATTGCTATCCCTGCGGACACCGACTTCAGAAGAGAAGTTCATTGCTCTCCTGGAAGGAACATTTCCAGACAGTGTTCTGATGCTTGCAAAAAGAAGTACTGTAATATCAGGTCTTTCTGGAACAGGGAGCTGAAGGTAAGTTTTTAAAATTAGGAAGTGCCCACTATTGCATACAGGTCATAATAACAGCCAGCATTTATTTCAGCACTTTTCATGAGCCAAATACCGTCTAATTCCTTCACATGCATTTTCTTATGAAAATTGTCTTATTGGGACAGTATTATTATTATTTTTAAATTTCTGACATTACATTCTGGTCCTCTGCATTGAAGAACTCAGTGGTGGTGGTGTTTCCTTGTTCCAGAAAGTTCTCTTTGCCCTGTGTGCCTTGAATGCCCTTACCACCACCGTCTGCTTGGTGGCCGCAGCCCTCCGCTATCTGCAGATATTTGCGACCAGGAGATCGTGCATTGTAAGTCCTTGTGAGGTGGCGCTGTGACCGTGCTTGGGGTGAGCCAGCCCACGGGCCCTTTTGTGTAATTTGCTGCTTTTCTGCCCAGGCCTTTGTCGTGAAGGCTGTTGCTAACCAGGGTGCTGTTTCATCAGGATGAATCCCAGATTTCTGCAGAGGAAGTGGAAGATCACGGGCGTATCCCAGACCCAGATGACTTCGTACCACCCGCGCCACCCCCCTCCTATTTTGCCACCTTTTACTCGTGCACGCCCCGGATGAACCGCAGGTACCGAGCCGAAGCCCCTCGGCAGCTCTTGGTGGGGTTTTGAAGACTGAAGGGTCTCCAGAACTCACACCACGAGGTCCCATTTTTTCCCAAAATCTAGACAGGTTGTATTGTTTTTCAGGGTTTTCTATTCTGTCTCTGTCTCTGTCTCTTTTTCTCTTTGTCTGATAAACCAGATAAATCCAAAGAAAAGTCAAACCTTGACCTAAAGGTATACTTTTTCAATTTCAATTATCTTCTTAGGGAAAACTCACACCAGAGAGATAAAGGCTGTAATTTGACATGATTGAAAGTCATTGTTGCCCTGGAAATGCCCCCTGTTAGGCCAAATTGATGTTTCATTATAACACCATTGGCAGGTTCCAACGATCATGAAATTCTTCCCAGCCATTCATTAAAAAAAGGTTAATTATTAATTGCATCTCCCTGGTCTAGAAAAAAATAGACATCCTGCTTATTTTCCTTTTCAAATTCTAGCTCAAAATTTTTACTGTTTTTTAAATCTCGGGAATTATCATTTGTAGAATGAAATGCCACATGCGTTCATCTCATTAACAACTTCTAGAATTTAACCTCTCTAAAGAATGACTTCATTTATTCATTCAACAAACATATAATCAATCCTGTGCTGCTTACTAATCACCATGCTGGGTTATTGAAATTCAAAATGAGTTAGATCTGCTTCCTCCTATCCAATCAAGTAGGTCATTAAAACGAGTGTTGGAAGGATCAAAATAGTACCCAAAAGAGATATTTTGGGTGCACAAAGGTCTCCCTAACCCAGAGTGGTGAGGTAATTCAGTCAGTCAGGGATGGCTTCCTGGAAGAAGTGACCTTCAGCTGAGTTTAAAGGATAAGCAAACCTATTTCAAACTTCCAAAAGAAAATCTCTGAATTCCATAGAAAGATTAGAGTATTTAGCTTGATATTCAGAGGGCCAGAAATTTCTATTTTGAATCCCGGTAGTTCATGTAGAGAGTTGTCAAACAACTTCGGTGCCAAGCTTGGGGTTTTTGGAAAACCATTATCTAATGTTCAGGGCAGCCATATGTGACTTTGAAATAGGTCACCAGTGGTAGCTATCACCCACATGCTGTTAGTGTCCTTCTCAAACACTAGAAGATGGGTTATCTCCCTGACTTGTCCTTCAGAGGCATACTCGAACCGTCCCTGCATGCCCTGCCCTGCCCACCTGCCTAGGCAGAGGCAGAGATGACCACAAAACCGGAGCGGGTGCAGCTGGGAGGACGGATTGCCTGTGGCAGGCCTGTGGGACAGCTCAGCCTTTCTGTTGTTCAGGGAGTAGCTTACTGGAATGTCAGAGCTTCAGGGGCCAGGATGACTTCCCTAGTCTTTCAGGAAATGAGCCAAGAATTACAGAGACTGGAGAGATAAAACAACAAAACACTTACTCTTTGTGTAAATATAGGACATTTTTGCTAAAATCTTCACCCAGTCTCAGGCTGTTTGTAGAGGGTACATCAGAGGATGGTAAAAATGACTATTATTTCACAGTTGGGAGGAGAAATGCCCTCTTCAGTAAGAAGAATTTCTTGGTTCTCTGAGGTTGTGGGTGAGCACTTGGTTGACCTAAGAGGAGGCAACAGACAGATTTAATTTCCTGCAGTGGCAGAAAGGGAAAGTGACGCATGTGGATTTAAGAGTCGTCCTGTCTAGCAGCGTGTCCTGCCTGTAGGCTCCCTGATCTTCCTCTCTTCTCTCTTTCATCTCTCTTCTCTGCTCCACCGTGACAATGCTGATCAGTGTGGTATGTCCACTCCTTGAGGACCTGGGTGCATCCTTGGATTTGTCCTCTGAGCCAGCGTGTGACAGCACCTGGCCAAACCCAGGTTGGAAGAAGACAGACAAGCTCCTCATCAAGGGATTTACCATTAAGAACTTTACAGGGGCCGGCCCTGTGGCTCACTTGGGAGGGTGCGGTGCTGGTAGCACCAAGGCCACGGAGTCGGATCCTATATAGGGATGGCCGGTGCACTCACTGGCTGAGCGTGGTGCAAACCACACCGTGCCAAGGGTTGTGATCCCCTTACCAGTCAAAAAAAAAAAAAAAAAGAACTTTTCAGAAGGCAGGCAGTGGAGGGGATTAAAGCAAAACACCCTTATGAGAAAGAAGACACTGCTCAGTCTAAAATATATGCCTAGAGCCCTGGATCATATTGCCAATGGGCAAACACCTTCATTTTCTGAAATTCTACCAACATCAGAGTGCAGCTGTCCACTTTCCTTTTTAAAATGGCTAAGTTTATTCACATTTAGATACATATTCAATCAAAGATATTTTAAAATTTGACCGACTTTGCTAGAGTCATGGTATAAATCAGCTTTATAGACACTAGTTGTTTAACTCCAATTGGTAATTTTCTTTCTTGTCAGCAGGCAGGCAAGAATATTCATGAATGTTTTTGTTAATATTTGCATAACCAGTTAAGACTTTTCACACAATAGCGGCATCCCATTTCCTGTGAGGTATTATGACCTCTCAGAAAAGGTTAATTTATTTAACTGCTATAAATACAACCACTTCATGCATTGGTATCTCCTTGAGAAAGGGCTTCTCAAGTTACTGTCATAAACAGAAGCCCGATTGCAGTCAAGGCTTCTGTCCAGAAATGGTTTAGCCACTTTGCGACTTGATTTGTAAGTACAGGAGGGGGCTGTGCACCCATCTACACTACTCCAGGTGTCCCTCATTCTCAGAAATTGGCTTGAGCCAGGAATCAAAAAGGAGAGTTTCCAACCTATTTCGTGAACATGGACTTGATTTTTACTCTGGGGATGTTACCTTTTATAGAAAACTGAAGACTGAGGGGGTGGGATCCAGGCTATGTGGGCATGTATTAAAGCGTTCCAGTAGACAGAGAAAGCATTCTGTAGTCAAAGGTGCGTTAGTTGCAGCATTACTCTCCGATGAATTTTCAAAGCCTATTTGTAGCATTAAAGCATATTTTACATGATCTGTTTGAATTTTCTCTTCCTCTTCCATGCTCATGAGCATAAACCAATGAAGGTTTCCTGGAGACTTTGTGATGAACTTCAGAGTCCAGGCTCTGGAGTCTCTTCAAAGGTGACCCTTGGCAGGTCTCCTACTGTTTCTGTGCCTCAGTTTCCTTATCCACCTATGTTGTCACATGGCTGCTGGGAGGATTTTTATGAAATGATAAATATAAAAACTTTAGAAAATAAAATAAATAAATAAAAGCTCAGACTGTGCTCTAGCATTGTTAGTTGCACAGTTTAAAATGTTCTTGGTATGTGTCCTACTCGTGAGAAACATTTAGCTCTTAATCTTTTTTTTTTTTTTTTGCCTTTTTTGAGACCAGCCGCACCGTGCTCAGCCAGTGAGTGGTGTGAGCGCACCGGTCATCCCTATATAGGATCCGAACCCGTGGCGGGAGCGCTGCTGCGCTCCCAGCGCTGCACTCTCCCAAGTGCGTCACGGGCTCGGCCCAGCTCTTAATCTTATTCCTACCTTATCAGGCAGCAGTTTTCTAAAGACCTTCATTCTTAATAAAAATCTGATCAACTTTCCGAGACAGAACAGGGTTTTAATTTCAGCTACCACGATTCATTTCCTTTTGCAGCAGTGCTCAATCCGGGCTGTGTGTTAGGATCCCCTAGGAGTGAAACAGACAGGTACCTGTCTGGGCCCCACCACAGGCAATTAGAACAGAACTTCTAGCGGTGAGGCCTGGGCCATCCATGGTTTTAGAACTCCCCGTGGTGATTCTACTCTATAGCTAGGGTGGAGAGTCAAAAGAGATCAGGGAAAACAAACAAAAACACCAACCTGCCAGTATATAGCAGACCCGTTTGCCTCCATGGATCCTTATTTACCCCAATAAGGTTAAAATAAGAAGTCGCTTCATAGGAAAGGAACTTTTCTTCTATGTCAACTCCAGCAGCATCTCCCAGCAAAATGAGGCTTTTATGATCATTATAATAACCACCGCAGGAGCCATTTATTTTGTGGTCAACTTGGATGAGGTATGTCCCCTTTTCTCCCCAGTTTCTCTTCTGGAAGAGATTCTACAGTAGTTTAGGGTCTAAATGGAAGCTCATTCCTCTTGACCTTGAGCAAACCCCCTCCTCTCTATGCACACACAGGTAGCCACAGGGCTGAGAATGTACAACAAGTACCCTCAGAGCTAACAATCAGGCAAACAAAGCTGGGGGTATGAACCATCCAGGCAGGGACACAGCAGTGAAGAACACGGGTGTCATTTATTGAGGAGGAAAAGTTGAGGACATGTGAGTGCTAGAGAGCTGGCTCATGGGGGTTATGCCGATTAAGGATTGAAGACTGGTCCTCTGGAGAGGATGGAAGGAGTCTGTCGCTCTCAGTGATGAAATTGCATTGTTGATTGGTCAGGAAAGTGTCTTCAGTTAGGTCCAGGAGGGGTCCGGCTCCTCAGAGTTACTCAGTATTTATAGATCTTTAATAGCTTTGTTCGGGTAGGAGAGTTTGAGTGAAACCCACAGGCAGGGTTTCTAAGTGGAGAATATCTCTTTCACTGTAACTTTGCCAGGACCTCTTATAGCCACCCCATGGAGGGACCTTCCTGCTGGCGCGTCCCTTCAGACTGGATGCTGACGTGTCATGTACTGAGCCTGCAAACACATAAACACATTTAGGTGTCAACACATAACCCTCCCTTCCCTTTCACGTTGAGCAGGGAAAGGGAGTCTTGTTTATGAAGAGAGGAAGGAAAAAGGGGGAGTGCTTTCTCATTTTCTCGTTCAGGCTGCAGAAGTCTCATGCTTCTAAATCCCAGAATTCCAGAAATTTTATTGTTAGGAAGAAAGACCATCACATGTTTTTCAACTTTTTTTTCTCCCTCCAATCACATTTTGTAAATGGGCACAAGGAATAAGATAAACAGTCATAAATTCAAAAAACATCTCTCCCCCAAGATCAGTTCTTTGCATGCAGTTGGCTCTAGATCATATCTTTTCATCAGTTTCTTTTAGTTTTTTATTCTTTTTTGTATTTTAAGACCAGACAAACTTTTGCTATTATCCATTTTTTTTTGTCATTCTCTAGTACTTCATAGCCTGAATATAGGTTTTCTGGCATGTATATGTATTTTATAATAACTATTTTAAAATTTAGGTTCTTCATTATCCAGATTCCTTTTTGTGGAATTTCCTATGAACATTGGCAGGCAATCTTGTGGGCTTTTGTTTTTGTTTTTTATTTTGCTATTGAGGGCCCCTTACCCACAGGGCACCAAAAAAAAAAAAAAAAGGTGATCTAGGAAGCGCTTAAAAGGAAAAGATATCTAATTTTATTCAGGTGGGAGGAAAGAAGGCAGTTGGGAAAGAATACCTGTCATTCACTAATTTTTAAATTACTCACATTAAGTATGGTGGTCATAACATTTTCATTGATAAATACAGCACATGTAAATATTTAATAGCTAAAGAATTTTCAGTCCTAAACCATCCCTGCTTAAGGGAGCGGGGGTGGAAATTATGAAGAGAGGGGATGAGAAAGGACAGAGTGGAATAGTGAAAGCCAGCAGGACTGGGGAAGGGAAGGAGACCCAGGAGAGAAATGAACCTCCAATCAAGAGAACAGCAGCCGCATTTGAATTAAATTAGCAGGATATGGAGACGCTTGGTCTTCTGAAGTCCCCATTCTCTATATCCGCACTGTTTGTTTCAGCCATATGGGAGACTTTTTTTTTTTTCCTTTTTGTCTTTTTTACTGACCGGTAATGGGATCACAACCCTCGGTGTCGCACCCGTACCGGGGACCAGCAACGGGATCGCAACCCTCGGTGTTGCGCCCGCACCGCACTCAGCCAGTGAGCGGGAACCGGTCTCTACATGGGATCTGAACCCTTGGCGGGAGCGCCACCGCGCTCCCAAGTGGCACACTCTCCAGTGCACCACCGGGCCGGCCCTAGGAGACTTTTTAAACATGTCTTCTTTACTGAAATCTTGAGTTTGTTATAGCTTTTGGTGGTGGTGGTGGTGGTCATATTACAAATCAGTGTAAACCATTTTGCCAACTTGGCTGAGTTTACTATATTAAGCTCAGGAGAAAACAGAAAACCAACCTTTATTTCTTTTTCCCCCTGACATTATCCCTAGTGTGGCCCTGCTTTTTAAAAATTCATCAAATCTCCAGCACCTCATGCAGAGCCTTGGCACGGTGCAAGTATTCAGTCGGTGTGTGTTGAATGACCAACTTAATGAAAAGTCACTCTGTGACTCCTCCTACTGCATGCTGCTTTGTCTCAGCGCTACAACATCCTTCACTCTTTGTTTTAAATTAATTCATCCCTTCAAATATTTATTCAACTAATAGTGAGTTTCTACCATGAGTGAAACATTAGGGAAGCCCAGGCAAGAAACTTGTCATGTACTAATGTAAGAAATAATTACATTTCTCCATGTCCTTAGTTGTTGTTTTTTTAAAAAATTGAGATGAAATTCCCATAACGTTCAATTACCCATTTTAAAGTGTACAATTCAGCATTTATTATATGCACGATATTGGGCAGTCATCACCTCCCTCTAGTTTCCGAGTATTTTCTTCACCTCCCAAGGGACCCTATGCCCGTTCCCTTCTACCCCCGCCCCTGGCGATCACCAGACTGCTTTCTGTCTGTCTGGATTATTGTCTGCTTTTTAACTGGGGGATTTAAAAGGAATGATGGTGTTGCACTGTTGCATTTTATGCTCTGTCACTTCCCTAAGGAATTCTAGGCAGGCCATCAGAAAGCAGCTTAGATTCTTCTCCTGGACCGGGAGACCATGGTATGGAGGGGCGAGTGGTGAGTGGTCTTCCCCACAGTCCAGAGGCAAAGGCCAGTGCCCAGGGGCCACTGCAGTCAGATGGTCAGTCTGTAGGATGTGCTTGCTGATGCCAAGATGCTTTTCCTAGGATGGTTAGTCCTGATGTTATTCCACTGCCGCACATCTACGGAGCTCGAATCAAAGGCGTGGAAGTGTTCTGTCCTCTGGACCCCCCGCCCCCGTATGAAGCTGTGGTGAGCCAGATGGACCAGGAGCAGGTACTGTCCAGAGAGTCTCTCTTTAGTGCGTTACTGCAAGTAGGAAACCCAGCAGACCTCACAGAGAACAGCGGGGAGGCTGGGCCCCGCTCATCTTTCTAAATAGTTCTGTGGGGTCTGGTGAGGGGTGAATTGAACATCAACAAAATAGCCCTCTTGTTCCCTGTAATGCAGGGGTCTTCATTCCAAATGCCAGAGGGATCGGAAGCTGCTGCGAGCCTGTTGGAACCAGTCTGCACACAAGTGACTCAAGGTAATGGATACTTGCTGCCCAAAGTCATGATTCAGTAGATTAAAACATGAGAAAATAATGATCCATCTGATATTTTGTTGGAGTCAGATATTCTTGGAGCACATGGTTTAAGCTATGTCCTCCTTTCCAGGTATAAAAATACTATCAACTATCAGGGCTTATAAGTGGGAGATAATATGTGAACAGAAAAAAAGATACTCTTAAAATCTTTTATGAATAATCAGACTATTCTCAGGAACCTAGGAAATAGACTATAGAGCTTAATTTAGCATTCCTTTGTTTTTGAATTGATTTTCTTTCTCCTATTAAAATAAGCTGGGTTCTTTTGAAGGGAAAAAGAGATTCATGCATTGCAGGGTGGTTTGCTGTGAGATTGTGCTGGGTCATGTATAACCTAGGGCACAGGTCGTGCTGCCTTGACATCTAGTGAATTCTGATTTTCAGTTCTCCATTAAATACTAGAGTCAGTTTGTGTTTATTCTTGTAATTTAAGGGAACATTGTTAGAGCTTTCTCTCTTTGGGGAGGTTTTAAATGACCTAGAGAATCATCCACCGGAACAAAATTGCACATGGTAATAAATAATGGATCAACTTCTAGCTATTTTAGATGGAGGTAATTTTTCAGCAGCACCATTTAGAATGACTTTCTGTTCTTTGTTCATTTTCCATTTTAAGTAGAATTATGAAGCAGTGTACTGTGATCCTGTCTGCTTGTAATTCTTCCATTTTTAAGAACAGTATCCCAGACCACAACTCAGGCTGACAAATGATGCGATTATTTTTTCTTTGTAACTTTTTATTTAAAAGCTTCAAACATATATAAAAGTAGAAAGCATCGTATAATGAAATGAATCCCCACAAATCCATCACCCAGCTTCAGCAACTAATGTACTGTCTATTCTTGTTTCATCCACTTCTCCCACCTCCACTTTGTTTTGTTGGTGGTTCCTAACATGACATCCAAATGATGCGATTTTATTTTCCTGAGCAGAAGTCATCCAATTCCAGTTTGCTCTGCTGGTTCTTTTAGAGGCCACTGGCTCTTTAACGTAAGCACTCTGGGTGATGCATTTACGTCCTCTGCAGCATTTGGCCTGTGCAGGTATTACTTCACCTGTGCAGGTATTACCTTCCATGGAACCAAGCTCGTCCTGAATTGTCAGAAGCTATAAAATGTCTAGGACCTTTTCATGCTGCACCAGGATGTCTCAGTGGAGAAGATGCTAAGCACCTTTTAAAAAAACTGACATTTTGGCATAGCTTCTTTATTTTATTCTTGGATTTAAATTGTTTTTGTTTGTTTGTTTTAGGTGTGGAGAGGTGGTTTGAGAGGCAAGTTTTCCCAGAGTCGTGGGAAAAAAACTTACTGGGCTAGCAGCCTAAGTAAATGTTATTAACAATATTACCCTTGGCCTGGCAAGTTTGGGTGCACAGGTGTTTCCTGCCCAATGTTTTGAGGCTGCGGCTGGTGAGATAATTTATATTTTTCCTCTTTTTGAAAAAAAACAGGTGGGGACATTCATAACACACCTGTAGAAGAAAGCACATCCATGTCAACTCCCAGCTCAAACCAGGCGCTTCCTGCGAGAAGCCAGAGAGCCCCCCAACCCCTGAGGACAAGATCAAAGAGTGACCCTGTGCTCCACCATTCCGAGGAGAGAGGTGATGTCATTCCCCAAGCTCTGCGCAGAGCACTGTGCTTATTTGCCTAAAGGTGCCAGGTGAAGGCAGGTGCCTCTGGCCAGCCCGTGGCCCTGCGGTTTAAGTGGCATATTGAAGGAGGTCAGGAGGTGTTGGGAAAATAAGATGTTCTGCATGCACATTAGAAATATACTTCTGCCACATCTTTTAGGGCAGGTAGGTTTTTTGTTTTTTTAAAGTCATTGCCATCAAAAGCATTTGGTTGCGCGTGATACTGTGCTAGGTGCTACATAAATAAAATTATGCAAACCTTGTTCTGATTTCTAGATGCTTGTAATCCTGTGGGAAGTTACATTCTCCTCAAGGAAGAAGTCAAAGGGGTGTATTTTTTTAACCCCCTCTTTTATAATTTAATATTTGTTATCTTTTTACTGTGTTTGAGTCGATTGAATTATTGAAGTCTGACCTTGTTTTAAGAACTGTGGATAGAGTGAGACACACACTTTCACACACTTCGTCTCTCTCCCTCTCTGTTTTGAGTTTGTGTATAGATGTTATTTGAATAGTTTAAAAATTTAATAATAATGACATTGAGTCTTTTTCCTGAATATAAGAATACCTGAAGATCTCTAAATACCTCTTCATTGTAGAAAATTATAAAAAATAAAGGGAATAAAGAAAGGAAATTAAAATCTTCTGTGATCCTACCAACACGGGCTTCTTTTTGTAAACTATTCTAATAGGTGGCCTCTGCTCCTCTAAAACTCTATGCAAATAAAACTTTGAAAAATCCTCTAAGCTTGCTCTCTCCCTGGTCTGGTCTCAAGCCCTTGCAGTGTCTGTCCTATCCTTCTGACAGCATGTGTTGTTTGCACAGCTCTGAACTGACCATGTGGGAGCCAGAGAGAACACTCTCCTTGTTTCTGCAGTGGCTTCCTAGTGGGGAGAAGTCCCACTGCCTCTTCCCACACGCCTCTGCATGCCAGCAGCCGGGTAGCTGGCCTCTGATTGCCAAGACCTGCCTTCACTGTGGGTCTCTCATACCCTACCTGGCAAGCTGAGGACTCAAGCTGGCCACCTGCTGGCTTCAACTGGAACTTAGCTGTTTGCATGGCTTAGGGAGATCTTTCTGGGATCCCTTCCCATTCTGCAGCCTGTGGGGGCGAGGACGTGTGTGTTTACCTGTTGGAGCCCTCCATTGTGGAAGGCACCAGGTTGCCTTCAGGTGAATGAGTGTACATCCTGACTCTGTCCCCACCCATGAGTGTCTTTGGCAAGTGTTTCTGGAAGACTCTTGCTCTCTGTGACATGCACATGGTAGCCCAGGCAGATGGCCTCTAACCCCAGTTTAGAACTCTTCACACTTGCCTTTCTCCAGAGTAAAAGGAACACTTCCCTTCCTTAACCTGATCCCCCACCCTGCTTCCCGTCTTCCTTGACTATCTAAATTCCTACTTCTCAAGCCCTCACAGACTGAAGTCACCAGCGTTGTGTACACTGAAGGCTGCTGGCTGGCTTGTGGACACATGGAGACCAGATCTGAGTTTCACTTCACCCACTTCACAGTGGAGTAGCATTCTGCCGGTCTTTACACCCTTGCTGATCTAGGTATCTGTGGACAGTAGAGCCCGTGGTGGATTTCCCAGGCCCTCCATTGACTTCTGGAATGATGTGTCATTTTTCTGCACCTAAGTTTCTCTTTCTGTAATAGTCAGCCATAGATCCACCTCACAGCCATGGTGTGAGCATCGATAATATGTCAGTACAATGCCCCTGAAGATGTTTAGGACAAAGGTACAGTGAAAGTGAACAGCATCCTATTCATCCCACAAGTCTTGTCTCTCTCCAGTCCCTTCTCTTTAAGTGACTCCTTCATCCCCCCGCTTGGAACATTCTTTCATTGGTCAACCATGCTTGGTCCATCCACCCCCATCTATTTGCCATACCCCATGAGACTTGCTCTGTTATGGTTTGCATTCTGGGTTCCATTCCCTATCATGTGTCTCTACCTTGGGGATTGTGTTGTATGTGACACAATTAAATGTTTTGGGCCATTTCTTATTGGAACTGCACTTCAGGGAATAAGCTTGTGTCATAGTTGTTTTTTTTTTTTTTCCTTTTCCTTCTGCAAGGTGGAAAGCAAGATGTGCATGGCTATAGCATTTGTCAGATGCTTTCCACGCTGACTTTCGTGGTCTGTGCTGTTTCAAGCACAAAGGCCTTGGCCAATGGGGACATATTGTTTGTTTCCACCCACAGCCGCCCCAGTGCTCAGCTGTGAAGCTGCTACTCAGACTGAAAGGAGACTGGACCTGGCTGCGGTGACTTTGAGGAGAGGCCTGAGACCGAGAGCTTCACGATGCAGACCGCGGTCATTAATAGATTACAAATCTTACATTGACACCAAGCTGCTGGTGGCGAGATTCCTGGAGCAGTCCTCCTGCAGTATGACCCCAGACATCCATGAACTTGTAGAAAACATTAAATCTGTTTTGAAGTCCGATGAGGAGCACATGGAGGAAGCCATCACAAGTGCCAGTTTCTTGGAACAGGTAGTTTTATTATTATGAATATTACACATGAATCAGATGACTCATTTCCATAGCAGCTTAAGAGGCTTCTGCGATTTCCTGTCCAAGGCAGAGTAAGCTCATGGTCACAGTCTCAAGGGAAATGGGTTAGGAGGGGAGGGGAGGGAGAGAGGAAGCTGGAGAGCTTTCCTTTCAGGTGTGGTGACTTTCCCACAGCGTTCCTGGTCCAGGGGAAGAGAACCCAGTTTTTCTGGGAGGTGGAAGTGTGCCTGGAAAAAGAGAAGGGTGCAGCCTGGGAATGAAAGCAAAGGATATGGGCAGTGTGGTGCTCACTCAACATTCGATGTCCTAAATCAGAGGTTTCCCTTGACATGGCATGTTTTCTCAGCCCTTTGAAAATGATGACATAGGGGAATTTTAACATTGGTAACATTATGGGAGATGTTTGTTCTCATGAAATGCTTGGCAAGATAAATAACCTGATAGGACTTAAAGGAACACCCTTTCCTTTTTATCGATTAAAAAATTCAAGGCGATCCCCTACACTGAAGCCACCCAGGGAGAAGAGAAAATTGGGCATGAACGTAATGCATTTGGGTCTCAGGTGTCTCAACTTTCAAGTGAAGGGTTGGACTGGGTGGCCCGTATAGTCGTATCTCTGAATGAATGGGATTTCCTTCTGGTAAGAACCTCCTCTCCACCTCTTTTAAAAGCCGTTGCCTTTCAGGTGTTTCCTCTGTTGCTGCAGGTGTGTGTGGTGGCTCCTGTAGACATCAGTGCACATGGCACACGGATTCTCCTTGGTTCTGTGTCTCTGTGCATTAAGTGCCACCAAATACTTCCTAAGTTGAATTAGGCTGATTCTCAGGGTAATTACCAGCTCCAGGATCCTAGGTAAATTTTTAAGGCAGATTGAATAAATCCCCTTCTCACTTTCCTTTCGGCATCCCCTTTCCACCTACTGACCTCCTCTTACAGAAGCCAGAAACCAGATTCTCTCCTGGTCCCTCAGGGGACCCAAGGGAGGAGAGAGATGATTACTCCTGTGAAGAGGTACATGGGCCACAGACTCTCTCGTAGTTTGCGTTTTGAGAAAATGGTCAATCATTGGCTCTGGCTCAGCCTCCACTTAGCCTGTGTAGGGAAATATTTACATCCTGGCATCCCTGACCTACTCCAGATGGCGTTCCCCACCTCCCGCCCTCTGTCTGGCCACCGTCGCCCTGTAAACAGGAGCAAGCCTTTGGAGCCATTTCTTGAAGGCTGCCAAGCTGTGATGAAGTAAGAGCTAGAACATCCACCAGGCAGTTGGTCAGGACCTTCTGCGAAGTCTTGCTCTGGGGAAAAAGAACAAGCATTTATAGTTCAACAGATGCTGTTGTTAGAAATGTTTGCTAGATCATGTGCCCCAGACCAGTTCAAAGTTCAGGTACTGAGATTGTTGTGATAGACCTGAGCCACCTGCTGGGGCGATGCATGACTTGACTCCAGGGGTGAGGTATCATAATGTCCCTCCTTAGACAGAAGTGGGCAAGGACAACAGAAGGGGGTCTTTTATTTCTGACTCTCCTCAGCTTTGCACATTTTTACTTTCTTGAGTATCACTGGAATGAGTTTTTAGATGCATTTTGATTTTCACTAATATTAAAACCACTTATCCTAACTTACCATGTAACTCAGTTGCATATGTGACACATTGCAAAATAGATCTAGCAGTAGAATCATTCTTCAAGAGTTTTTACAAATAAGTTGGCCTACTAAAGTTGTTTATTAAAGGGTTAACAGATCCATTAGAAGCGTCATTGGTTTTGGTTGACATTTTATTAACTCATTACCTGGTCACAATCCCAGACCAGTGGTTCTCAAATTTTCAAGTGCATTGGTATTATCTAGGTTCTTGTTAAAAATACAGATTCTTGAGTCCCATTCCAGACAGTCAGAATTGCTATGGTGGCAGCTGGGAGTCCATGTTTCTAACAAAGCTCCCATCAACACCCCGGTAATGTGCAGAACCCGGTGAAGATTACTGGCTTAGACCACAGGGAAGTTGGAGAGAAGTGATGTGAAGAATATTAAATATAAAGCAAGAAATTGCAATTGACAAATCAGTTAAGTGGGGCTGGTCTAAGTTGAAACCATAGAAAAATCTGAGAATTTTTAGGAACTTTAGAAAAAAGGCAGTATGTTAAAAATATCTCTGGAATTCCATATAGGTTGCACTTTTGGAAAACACCCTTTTTCCTTTTACAAAGAAATTAAACTTTAAGACATTTGGATAGATACACGAGGACGAGGCAGGTCTGGTGGCAGGCAGGCCACCTCTGGTGCAGCTTACTGAACCTCTGCCCACCCCCTTACTCTCCCAAAGATAATGGCCCCGTTGCAGCCTGGCACGTCCAGGGCCCACGTGCTGCCCTCACGGAGACAGCCTGGCCTGTTGCACCTGCGGAGCTGCGGTGACTTGAGTACCTTCGCCCCGGCCGGGAGGCCACGAGCCGGGAGGACACCCCGGAGAGCAGAGGCTGAGCGGCCGCACAGCCTCATTGGGGTCATCCGAGAGACTGTCCTGTGAACCTGGAAGACAGAAGGCCACTCCAAGGGGAAGGATCCCCCTCCTCTCTGTGCCGTTTCCCAGCTGGGAGTTGGGGTCCCCCTGAAACTCCTCAAAAAGAGGGGTACTCTGGAGAACATTTGTTTCCCTCTTTGCTCCCCTTTTCACTGACCAAGTGCATTCAAAAGTGAACGAATAGGTTCTTCCAGGCCCATCTGGGTTTGGATGCACTGAGCTGGAAGTTGTGACAGCAGCGACTCTCCTTCCCCTGCTGGGTCTCGCTGCATTCCCGAGGTCACATGCTTTGGTATGGGCAGAACCTGGGCCGACGACTCTGTGCCCACCTCACCCCCCTCATGTCCCTCTGTGGCTGAGTTCTTTCCCTCTCAGAAGGACAGATCTGCCGGGCTGCTACTTATAGCTACCTGCGGCCTTGCATTGCTCCACAGGAGAGGAATTGTCAGCAGACATGGGGACCGACCCCCACGTGTCTGTTGTCCTCAAGCCTCGTTTTAGGCCACCCTCCCTTTAGAAAAAACGGGAAACTTTTTAAGTGGCAAATTTTAATGAAAATCATTTACAGGGAGAATTATTGTTGATTCTATTTATTCATGCTTGTAAAACTAGAGGCACCTGAAGCAAAACTGAGAATAAAAACGTTTCCTTGGGACCTCTGGGCTCGGTGTGCGGTATTTGCCTAAGCTTAGATGGCCAGGCCTTACCGTATGAAGGGTTTGGAACTTGGAGCCCTGATGGTCACGTTCCCCAGGCAGGCCACTAAACCAGCTTAATCTCCAAGGCAACTGGACCCATGGATACAAGTGTCATTGGTTCATTCAGCAAGCGCTTGGCTGAATGCCACCATGGGGCTGCACCTAGTGGGACGTGAACAATTCTGTAAAGCAATTACAGATTGGGGATCATGGCAAAGGAGGAAGGGGGTGGTTAGGGAGGGCTTCTTTGAGGAAGTGACATTAGAGCTGGGACTTGACTTTGAGGGTCAGGGAAGAGTGTTCCAGGCAGAGGGAGAGGCCACCACACTAGAGGCCACTGTGCCCATGACCCCAGGAGCCGTGGACAGGAGCCTCACAGGCTGCATTTTGTGTTGACAGTGAGATGCCATGAAAGAGTTTTCAACAGGTAGTGACAGATTGAATTACATCTTCAGAAGGTCACGGTGCTGCATGGAGAGTTTAGGTCAGAGAGTGGAAGCGCGGAACTGAGCGCAGAGGCTGTGTGATGGGCGGCGTGTGGTCTGCTGGGCACTGCCCGTGTGCCCTGCGCCGTGCCCTGCACTTTACTCTCACTCGCACTTCCAGTCCACAGCGGCCTGGGAGGTGGGAGCTGCTGTCCCCATTTTCCAGGTGAGGATGATGAAGTCATGGAAGCAAAGAGCTAGAGCTGGCATTCAGTCCATTCCTCAGCCTCCCAACGGGCAGTGGTTTGCCATCTCACGTTTCTGTGGAAAAGCAGTTGTTACTACATCTAGCGTGGCTCACCAGACCACACACTCCCTTGGCTCCACGCCAGCAAGCCGTGCCAGGGTGAGACTTGGATCGGGGTCAGGAGGCGGGGAAAGAAAAGGGGAAAGACCGGAGGTACTGAGCTGGGATGAAAAGAGGGCTGTGGAAACAGATCTGGAAATTAGGCAGAGGTGGAGGGCCGTGAAGGGGCTGGGGTCTGGCCCGCTTTCCTGGAATGAGCTGGGTTTGGGGGAGATCTACAGGGACTTCACAGAATGACATTTTCTCTGTTCTCACCGCCCATCCCCGGGCACTGAGTTCCCCGTGCAGGCTCAGGATCTTTCCATTTCTCTAGAAGCCCTTGCACCGTAGCTGCTCCCCGGGGGCTGGCTCACTGCCCTGGGTCACTCCCTGCCTTCCTGGAGGGTCTCCTCTGTGTCACAAGCCTCCAGCCTCACCGTGGCTCTTGGACACTCTGTGGACAGTGGCCCAGCCCAGTCTAGCTGCATCTCTCCCCTGCAGCTACTCGTTTGCCCCCAAACTAGTTCTCCAGGTGAGGCCCAGGGGCTCTCCAACAGTCACTCTGCTCCTCCTCACAGCCAGGGGAGAGAAGGGACTGGCCTGACCCTACCTCACTCAGGACTGGCCAGGCCTTCTCAGCTTCCTGGGCTTCTGCCTTTTTCCCGCTCCTGGAGGGCATTTTTTCTCAGCTGCATCCCTCTGCACTTTCACTTCAGAATCCCTACAGCTCACCTCCAGCTGCCACCGCAGGCCTCACCGTGTGCCTGGAAGGCTCGGGGCAGACGGGTGGGTGCTGCATGTGTGGACAGGGTCTGGCTTCTAGCCTTGGGGGGCACAGTCACAGAGATGGCTTCAGCCATCCCAAAGAAAGGGAAATTGCCAGCGACAACCAGAAGAGGCAAGGAGGTGTACAGCCTGAGGGCATCGCTTAGAGGAATCCCAGGGGAAGTGGGCACCTGCCACATGGGGAGTGCCTCATCTAATTCCTGCACCCGAAGGTATTGGCAAAATCAGAAAACTGACTTCTGTCTTGCTTCCCTGAATTTAAAGACTTTTAAGGTAAAATAGTGTATGTGTTATATATTTCAATGTATATTACAACATAATGCAATATTTTATATGTGTTTGCCATAGGAGGGAACCCAGAGGTCATGTGATTCATCTCTGTTGGTTTGCCCGGGTGGTAAAGCATGAACCATGTGATACACATGTGCATAGGTGAACTGAATGTACATAGGGAGGGCGGCTGTTTTGCATTTGGAGTACCTTAGAATCCACAGTTCCGAGGTGGCGGTGAAGCATTTCAGATGTGGTGATCACAGTCACCCCAGAGGCTTGAATGGTTAGCGTGGGGATGCTTGAAAGAAGTTTTCACTGGTGACGTAAGTGGTGCTCAAGATACATGGCTGGCCAGAAGCACTGAGAGGGCACTCTGAAAGTTTATGGGGACTCCTATTATCTTTAATTCTATTTTTTCTATGAATTTTAGAAGTACTCTCGTGTGGTCATCGCTGCCTCTCCATCAGTGAGGCGTAGGAGTCTGGTCCCCACTTCATGAGGTTGTCGTGGGATGAACCAGGACGTGGTTGCTGCTTCTGAATGTCCTTGCCTCTGCCTCAGCCTTTCAAGCGAGGTGTGTATCTGAGTGAGGACAGAGAGCAGGACTTTCCCGAGCTCACCAACTGTTTTGTGCAGACTTGCCAGTCAGTGATTGTGCCTGGTCGGCAAAACTGCCCCCAGACTTGCTTTCACTGGAATGTTCCACCTGATGGTGAAGTTTGGGGGTGGGGTCCAGGGCCTCTAATGGTCCAGGGCTGCCTGTATTTACCAAAAGACCCAGAACAGTCAAATTTGCTGAACGGCCGAATTGGCTAGGTCCAGTCACTCCACCCCCTCCATGTGCAGATGGGGAAACCGAGCCACAGTGCTAACAGCAGCAGAGCAGAGGCAGGAGACAGCACTTCCAGCTTCTCAGACTATTTGGGATGAAGAACAGTTCTTTTCCCCAATCTGTCATGGACTAAAAAACTTTTGTAAATTTTAATAAACTGACTTAACAGGAATATAAAATAATAGTGATAAAAAAGGTGTATAAAATACAACCCCACCCTTTGAAAATAGGCTTTATTTTTTAGAGTAGTTTTAGGTTCAGAGCAAAATTGAGAGGAAGGTGCAGAGATTTCCCATATCTCCACGGCCCCCGCCATGTGAGCCTCCCTCGTTATCAGCATCGCCCTCCAGAGTGGTACATTGGATACAATTGATGAGCCTGTGTTGACACATCAGTATCACCCAAAGTCCATCATTGACATTAAAATTCACTCTTGTACATTCCGTGGGTTTGGACAAATGTATGCGTTACTACAGTATCATACAGAGTAGTTTCGCTGCCCTAAAAGTCCCCTACACATTGCTTATTAATCCCTCCCTCCCCACTAACCCCGACAGCCACGATTTTTTTTACTGTCTCCATCGTTTTGCCTTTTCTGGAATGTCACATAGTTGGAATTGTAGTGTGTAGCCTTTTCAGATTGGCTTTTTCACGTGCTGATACACATCTAAAGTTCCCCCATGCATTTTCATGGCTTGATAATTCATTCAAACCCATCCTTTAAAAAATTACTCAGTGCCATAGTTGTAAAAGTACTCTATCAAGTTAACATCTCAAAACGTTTACCCTCATTTTCTGAACTTACTCATGTCGGGGACCAGGAACTACCAGGCCTGTGGCTCTCACTGGATTGGTGCTGGTCTGGGTCTCCCACCTAGTCTGAGTCTCCCAGCTTCGTTTGAGACCCTGGGGACGTTGAGGAGGACCGGGAACACGCGGGTGGGCGACACTCTTCCCTCTGCACCCGTCTCCGTCCCCGAGGCCACCTGGGAGCCGAGGCTTCCCCTCACAGAGGGCCTGCGACATCCAAGTCTTTCTGATCCCTCAGGATTAGGAAGAACTGGCACGGGAAAGAGGGAGCTGCTGCCAGGCCTCCACCCAGCCGGAGGGGAGTTCTGGAAGCAGAACAAAGGAGCCCATCTCCACCTCCCACCGCTGCAGCCTGCAGAAGAGAACAATGACGGGAGAGGAGAAGGGCCCACAAGGCCATCTTTGTTTCCACGTGTTCATCCCTGGGGCCTCTGTAAGGGAGGCCGAATCTGGGGCCAAAAGACAGCACATTCTTCCATTTCTCTCCCTCTGCAGGAGCCTTCATCCTCTCATCCATTCAGCAGGTATTGATTGAACTACACAGTACCAGGCAGTGGGCCAGGTGCAGGGGGGTGTGCACAGACACACACGCACCTGTCCTCAGCTGATGGACCTGGGCCTGATTTATCCAAAGCCTAGTACGATGGGATCCCTCATCCCTGATTCTTTTTTTTTTTTTTCCTTTTTGTCTTTTTTCGTGTCCGGCAACGGACCGCAACCCTCAGTGTTGCGCCCGGACCGGACCGGGACTGGCAACGGGATCGCAACCCTCAGTGCTGCGCCCGCCCCTCGCTCAGCCAGTGAGCGGGAACTGGTCTGTATGTGGGATCCGAACCCTCAGCGGGAGCGCTGCCGCACTCCCAAGCGGCGCACTGTAGCAGTGCGCCACTGGGCCGGCCCCTTCATCCCTGATTCTGAAACAGGTGCTGGACATGGACACCCCAGGGGGAAGCTCTACAGACCTGGCCCATGGGCAGGCAGTTCACCATCTTGGGAATTCTTAAAGAAAAATGGTTGATGACACTTGTTAAAGATGGCGAGGAAGACTTTATTCAAGAAGGGACTACTACAATGAGATTTTTATTTAAAATGAGTTATTTTATTTAAACCACTGTAGCCACAATATTATCATTTCAACACGTATCAATATACAAATTACTAAGATTTTTTTTTATCAGTCCTCAAAATCCAGGGTGATGTTTACATTTATGACACATCTCAGTTCTCCAGTGGCACTGGCCTCATTTCAAGTGCTCAATAGCCACATGTGGCTACCATATTGGGCTGATCTAGGGCCTAGAACATGGTATGAACTGTAGGAGGGCTTGCCAGACAGTGTTCTAGGATGACATTGAAAAGGCACACAGTCATCTTCTTGCGTTATTTACAAGGTTTTGATAAATTTTATTAAAACGCGAGGGCCCATAATCACCATGATATCTCTAGTGATAAAGATTTGGAGGTACATTCAATATGCTTTAAAGA